ATAAAACTATAATAGCTCTGGTAGATAAACAGAGATGACAGAGTGATACACAATCTTGACACAGAAAGCCACAAAGAGAAGGCTAAGAAATAACACGAGACTTAGCAGAATACAGCAAATGAAACTGTGGACTAAGATATAAAGGGGCATGATCAACAAGTATAAACGTATATAGCTGAGATCAAATAGAACATCTATATAATAACATAAATGAATCCAAAGTCCACAAACCAAACACCCAGGACCCCGGCAGAATGGGGCAGTATTAGGTTGGAAGTTGACAGTGAAAAGTATAGACTGAGGAAAGTGAACAAAGGTCATAGACAATATACTTGATAAACCATGAACGGCAGCATGAATAGGATGCATTACTCCAAAAATAATGAGTAATGTTTTATTTCTGGATCTTTGGAATATACTTTTTAGTTTAGTTTGAGAATGATGTGCTAGTGAAAGAAAAAAGTAGAGCCTTCTAATCAAACACAGCATTTTCATGGCTAGCTGAATACCATCAGCAACATAGATGTGTTCATGCTGGGTCATGCCATGGCAGAGCTAACAAAAGTGAAAACTTGAAACTTTTGATATTTTGTGGTATCATAATGAACTGAGTCATGCAGTCTTGATGAAATTAAAATTCAATTCAATTCAATTTTTATTTATACAGCGCCAAACCACAACAACAGTCACCTCAAGGTGCTTTATGTTGTAAGGGAGACCCTACAATAATACATACAGAGAAAAACCCAACAATCATATGACCCCATATGAGCAGCACTTTGGCAACGGTGGGAAGGAAAAACTCCCTTTTAACAGGAAGAAACCTCTGGGAGAACCAGGCTCAGGGAGGGGCGGGGCCATCTGCCGTTGGGGTGATCAACACATAGTGAGTGAGAAAGGTGACTGAAGGAGAAATACTCAATGCATCATGGGAATCCCCCAGCAACCTACACCGATTGCAGCATAACTAAGGTAGGATTCAACGTCACCTGATCCACTGCTAACTCTATGAGGCAGATTCATGCTCATATAAATACCTGAATAAATTCCAAAATGAGTAATGAGTATATCAAAGTATCTATATGGTGGTTCCTGCTAAAGTACAGTGTATACACACATACACATACACAGTGAATTTTTTAAATGATTGGAAACTTGCTGCCTCAGTTATAAACTTGGTTGTCTAAATTTGTCCTCCAAGCACACAGGATGCTTTTGTTTGCAGTTTGTTAGCTTTCATTAGTTCTTACACAAGCAAGCTTGTAGAAACAACAGAGAGCAAAGGACAGCCGCAGATAAGAAGAAGATTTACGCTACTGACCTTCTAGTATGTACTGACCTTCTACACTCCCCCAGACTCCCCTCCATCCTCCCATCCTTCCCTTTTTTCTCTCCTCCTCTACTATAAATCACCTCACTCATTCATTAGGTCAGTGTCAGGGCTGTAACGCCCACTGAGCCTGAAGGAAGAGGGGCCGGCTGCCCGAGAGCACAGAACCACCGACCGAAAGAGGAAGGATTAAAAGAAAGGGGATGGCGTCGTTAAAAGCCACATTCCCATCTTCCACAATACAACACACCAATTTCCATGTTAATTTGCTTTGTGACAGCAGAGATGGATGTCAGTGACTGGCTGGTTGATGGGATGCAGCAATAGAAGAGTTCAAATGAAGCTATTAAGGAGGCTGCTAGTTCACTGAAAGTAGGACGTGTGTGTTGTTTGTATATGTGAGGGAATATTCAACATTTAGGGGAAGTTGCAAAATGATCAATATTTCACCCCCATGTATTTTTTAACCATATAACTGTTTAGAAGCCTAATATTCACAGTCCTACTGTACCAGACAAAAGCAAACGACAGAAAAAACACCAAGAAATGGGAAATGGCACAAAAGAAAGAAAAAGAATGAAAGCTGTGAGCTATTTTTCACATGACATTATGGAAATATGAGGGTTTTAGAGGACGCAGCAAGTAAATATGAAAACGTGGATGCATGTGTTGTTGTTGTACTGTACAGCAGCTTTGAAAGTGAGGACATGTCCTATATGGAAAAGAAATAGAAAAAACTTATAAAAGACTTGCATCAGATTTGGCCTACTTCATATAGTGAATCATATAAGGCTTATATGATTTACTCATGAAAGTGGCCACTTTCATATATTGTTTTAGTAAGTATCCAAAACATACAAGTTTACTTATATCTGTTTTCACTCTTGTATGCTTTTGATACAAGTTTCACACAAGACAGATACAAACTTTATACGATTTATATATATCTTTTCCATATGAGGTGTCAGCGAGGGTACTCACAAAGATAGAAACGTGTGCGTGTGTGCACGAGTGTAGCGGTGTGACTGACAGAGCAATCTTGAAACACACCACCCATATGGCTGCCATTGATTTCCAGTTAATTGAATGATTACCACTTTAGCATGCACCACCACAGCCAACCTCTGCTGTCAATCAGCACGAATGCGTCGCTGCCACCTGAGCTGCTGTCTGTGCAACAGCGAGAGCAGGTTTACATCTCACACGTGCAAACGCTGTAGCTGGTGTGTGTTGCCCCAGGCACATGCTTCTTATGAAAGCAACTTATCAAATCAATATGCGGTGAGTGTGCTGTATGATTCGAAAATGTACTTTTGGGGGATTACTGTGCTAGTATTATCGCTATGCCTATTTTCTCCTTACGTTAGGTTCCATTTGTGTTGTGTGTACATTCTCTTTTACTGTGCTGTTTTTTATGACTGTAAATGAATCAATAAAGCTCCACTGTATTGTTTAAGCTCTCGGTCCTGTAACTGGATCCAAATGTGGCTATGGATTCAAACTGAGGATTTAGACATAATCTGGTAATACAAATACGTGTGACACAAATGGTAGTCTCATATCCCACGATGCTTGATAGGCAGCTGAAGTAAAACAATTAGAAATCCAGCAAATAATACTCTGCCTGTGTCTACACGTCTGGTCTTAGAATGGTAATTATCCATTTGTTAAAATAAAATAACAGACTACAGGGAAGGGATACTGTAAATCTACATGTGTGTGTGTGTGTTTGTGTGTGTGTGTGTGTGTGGTTACAGGCCATGTGTAATATGGGTCATTGGTTTGCTGACATGCTATATAAAGCTGGTATTTTGACATGGGCCAAAATCTGTGATGCACAAATCCCAAAGGCGGTGTGCCTGTGTGTGTGTGAATGTGAGCTAATAAGACAAGAAAACATACAGTAGGCTTTGATTCATTACTATGTAAGTACTGTGTGGTCTGTTCTACCAGGAAATGTGTGCCTGCACCGCTCAGTGGAGCTGGGGGCTTCATGTAGAAAACATATGGTATGGAGAGGGAGACAGATGAAGGATAATCCCTTTGGCAGTCTAGCACACACACACACACACACACACACACACACACACACACACACACACACACACACACACACACACACACACACACACATATAATCTAGTCCTGCATATGTGTGCTTTGTGAGTTTAACACCGTTTAAAGCTTGGTCCTCGAAGGTCTGCTTTTTGTCTTAATTACTTGTTTTTTCAGCCTGCTTTAGCTTGCTGCTCTGCTGCACTTTATCTGACAGTAAATCAAGCAGGCTGACATGAGAAGAGCTCCAGCTTCTTCCTTTTAGATTTTAGGATGGAACTAAAGAGCCTTCCCCATTCTTTGCATAAAGGAAACACTATAAATGACCCCTGTGCCTCATGCCCCACACGTTTTTCTTCATACTCCACACATTAATTCTGTTCCTGACGCACTTGCTACTGTGCAGCTTAGAAATGGAACAGACAACAAAACGGCTCTTAGCGTTCTGCGGTCCCAGTTTGATTTGACCGGGTCAACACAGATACAGGCGCGGGTTACATTTGAAAAAGCAAATAAAAGGAGCACGGTGTGATTTGTGGCTCTATTGGCTCATCCAGAACTCAAAAGTCGTTGAGGAAATCCGATTTCTCGTCAACTAAGCTGAACTTTGACTGAAACATCAAGTCAAAATGCTGCAACATAATCTCCACAATCTCCAGGGAGACACCACAGGAAGAGTGTGGGAGAGTTAAAAATTACACTCTTCCTGTTCCCGTCTAAACACAGACATATTAAGCTTTAATTATTCTCTCCAGTGGCTTTGTAATTAGAAGCCAATATCAGGTAGAGCAGCATTATTGGTTACTCAAGCCAAACAGATGAGTTCTATACATCACCCTTCCTGCTCTGCACAGCTATGAAGAACAGCAGGAGGTCAATTAAAAATCCAGCCCACAGGCCAAAGAGGGGCAGTCTGAAGTTAGCCAACTCACACTCAGGCTGCTCAAATTTCTGATGACTAAGAACCAATACACGGAGTCGTCATATGACTGAGAACATGCACACAGCAAGACTTTTAGTGTTTGTAATGTGTCTGTGAACAGGAATCAATGAGGGAAGCCATAAACAGAATCAATAATGGTACTGGTATTAATACAATTTCATCAATATACTATTTAAAGAGCATATGAAGATCATTTTAGCTTGATTTGCTACTACTAGTGTCAAAGGAAAAGCAGCTTCAGTGAAATATTGTTGAGTAGAAAAATGATTTTATTTCACAACTTATTCTTGTGGCTTTCAATCAATAAAATTACTTTATTCCAAACTATAAAACCATCTGCAATGTAATGTGAACAAAATAAAATTCAAAATACAAGTACATTTCTGCTAGAATTAGTGAAATACCTGCATATATAAAAGGATAAACTATGCACGCAGCATTTTCATTTCAAATACTTCAAATCTTACTACAGTTCCAGGTATTTGGTGATAAAAGGTTAACTCGATTAATTATTTTAACTTTTTTTCCTAGTTCTGTACCTACAGCTTATTGTTATTGCAAACAGGGTTTATAAAAACAACAATAAACTCAGGACATGCAGTGTCTTGGATTTCTTTAAATAATATTTGCTTAATATGCTGCATTTATATATATAGATATATATATATCTATATATATCTATATATACATATAGATATATATACACATGTTTGATCAGTGAGTGAAATCCTCTGTGTCATACGACTTCAGCACCAAATAAAATGTCCTGCAAAAAATACAGACGTGCTGAGAGGGAACCTCCAGCACAGGATCTCTGCCTAATGACTGTTTTCTGACCATCTAGCATCCTGCCTTTGCATCTCTCTGGCCTTTTGCTGGGTGAGAATATCCTGAGGGAAGTATCTCATTATTGTTTCTCTAATGAGCGGAAAGGATGTAGAGAAGGAAAAAAGAGAACTTCTTCGACTCTGTGGAAGTCATTTCAAGGACGCTACCCTGAGATAAGTGGGGAGAAGTATTTAAAAAAAGAGAGGCATGCATCTGCCTGCGAAGGTGTCCCAAACATATACAGTATGAGCTATATGAAACCAGATCAGACAGAAACAAAAATAAAAACCTGAATAAACGCAACCGCGTAACTGTTACCAACATTTCTGAGAACGTGAATGGATCAGTGTCTGTCCCTTGGTCTTGGGAGTTGTATCTGCAGCTCTTAAACTTCAGCTGTGGTAGTTCAGTCACCATTGTAGCAGAGTCCCTAACTGTTGAAGGGTCTGGTGTTTCTGTCAGGATAGTGTTCTGAGTACTGGGCCTCCATTTCCTCCATCCAGGCCATGCTCCAGTCCCAAGCAGAAACAGGCTCCAGTTCGCCGAATGAGTCGCCTTCTGCGTGGAAAGATGGGTACAAGGCGCTGAGGGGGGAGGCAGGCGGAGAGAAATCTAAACACAGGAGAGGACAACATGTTGACATTTCAATATCAAGCATGTGTCTGTGTGTGCGCGCGTGAAACTCTATTTGCCTTTGGAGAAGCAAGAGTAAACATTTCGAGCCCTCTGAGGAGCACCTTTCATGATGATTCTCAGGGGTGAAACGAACATTTCGAAGCTTCTTTGAAGCAGCAGTTTGTCCCTGAAAATAAAACTTTTCTAATTTGTTTGAGGCTCTGAAGCAAACCGAGCCAATTCACACCAACCGCTTTGTGCAGTCCAGTGGTAGCAACAAATTTCAAAGAGCTCCGAGCTCACGTCCAGAAACAAAACACAAAAACGACGCTGAAGCCTTGAAGCTATACAGGCTCTGCCAATTAATGTGAGAGTGTGAAAGTGCACCAATCTGTGACAAGCCTCTTCCTGCTGTTTTCTTAGGATTAATCCACACTGTACCCTTCAAGCTAGGTCTCAGATAAGTACACTGAACCTGTGTGTGCACTTAACTGCACAGACTTTTTTTTTATTGGTAACTGTAAAGCAAAACATTTTAAATGTTACTGAAAAAACAACTGATAGGATGTCCTGAACACCCAGAAAATTTCACTTGACATACAATAAAATGAACCCATGACCTGATTCCGTCATTGCACAAATGTTAAAAACGGGTACGGTTTGGTGTCAGCTGGCTGCATGTGATCCACAGCTTTGTACTCAAAGTAACTCAGAGTAACTGCGAGGGAACATAATCAGCTGCAGAGAAGCCACTTCAAGAGTTTTCATACTGTGTGATAGAGTGAAAATCATGCAAGGCAGAACGTTGCCAAAAGTGAGTGTAGTGAGTGGAATAAAGCTGCACGGACCCCGAGGGAGGGCAGGGTGACTGATGAGTTGACAAAGAGGGAAGTAGATGACTCATCTGGAGGTTCAATCTGTTGAAAGGTCCCTAAGTAATTGCCTGGTGCCACTAGATATTAGACTGAATGAGTTTTTGTCTTTGCACAGGGGGCACGTGGACCAAAGCAGAAAGTCTGCTCAGACACGTTTCTGCACACAGTGAGACATCAGAAATATACGAAGAAGGCCAGAGAGGCCAGGCTACTTCCACAAAGCATTTTCACAACATTGTAACCCTCCATACCAACTTAGGGCTGCTCTTCCTTACCATTGAGCATCTTTCATAGATGAAAGGCCCCATCTAGTGGGGGAAAGTGGTAAGTACAACAGCGTTAGTGGTTTTGCACTTGTTTGTTTTCATCCATTCCAATAGTGACTAAAAGCAGCAGCTCACAGCTTTGTTTATGTCACATGAAAAATCAGTGATTCTGCACATGGAACCTGAACTTTTGTGCTATGAGACAACAGCACATCAGCTGGCAACTACACTTTATCATTTCAAAGTTCAAAGTGTTTTTTTAGTAACTGAATCATTTGATCTTTGTTTATTTATCATTCATAAATAAATAATAATGTTCCAAAGGATAGAGCAGTTCATGAGGAGCCACTGGTAGGAATGAACTAAACCAAACCAACTTGTCAGTGTATTGAGACACTGCTCTGTATAAGTTCTGTGTGCTACAGGGCTCCATTGTGCCTCAGGAGGTACACTTGACCTTCTATTATTTTGAAGGTCTGTAGTTTGATCCCCTGTTTCCTCGAGTCCACATGCTAAAATGAGACACACACTTGTTAGAGTGTGTGCGTCTAATAATTAGCAAAAGTTTATGGCATAGACTAAAGTGCTAAATGAATGAATGAACTAAAAAGTACGACATAAACATGAGTCTGTTTATCCTTTAGTAAAAACTATGAGCCACAGTTTATGCTGACTTAGGTATTTCTCCTTCTTACGTATCTATTGTCCTGATACTATAAAAACTTAAACGAATCCTTCGGAAAGCAGCCTCCAAATTGTTTTCTTAAAATATAAACTTTTTAAAAACAAATGTTTTTGTGAGTAAATGAGTTTAAAACACAGACAAAATATAGATGGGTGACAACACTGAACACACTGATGGTTCAGGACTACAAGTTGTTGAAAGTAGCAGATTAAAAAACAACTCCACAGGATCACTTGTGGGAGTTCTGTAGTTTTTTAAATAGTATTTTTACTAGTATTTTATAACTTAACCCCACCCACTAAGTGCCGTGGGCTTAGGTTAGCTGGTCATTCAAAAAAGCTCACATAACTGTGCGTAGTTAAATCTCATTCATTTCCACCATCATCTCATGAAAACGGATGTTTTTATACATTTTTTTGCCACAACTGATTTTCCTATTTCAAAAGTGACATTTCTGCTGTTTACCTGACAAAGAGGCTCCGCTCATGCTCTCCGCTGCCATGGCCAGGAGATGAGCAAAGTTAGCACTGTCATTAGTGTAGCAGCTGTCCACGGAGCTGATGAGGCTGGTTCGGGCACTGGACAGGTTGCTGTCCATGACTGAGCTGATCGTGTTCCACAGAGAGCTGTCCCATTCGCTGTAGCAGGAGGAAGGCGAGCTCTGACGGCAGGCATGACGGAGACTATTTAATGGAGGTTCGGGCTCAGTGAAGGCGTCGTGCACCTGAGCAGAGCGAGTCGGCCCGCAGATGTAATTCAGCGTCGAGGCAAAATGACGGGACAGGGAAGGACGCTGCTCTGGCAGGGCACTGCTGACACAAAGGAGCAGAATGGTCAGCTACAGTAACTGTGCATGCATCTGTATGTAGGCTGCATACAGGAGAAACTAAGCCGATACGCAGAATAATATCATGGAATAGTCATTATAGTGTTCACCTTTGCTCAGTGCTGACTGTAAATGGATTCATTATGGCTTTACCTGCATCTCTCTGGTTTAGGAGTGAGCTCCAGGTACTCAGCAGCTTCCTGTGCTGTCAGCATGCTGCCCTGTTCATCACTCTGTGACACAGAAGATAATGCAGTGCACAGGTGGCTGTAGGATGGGCAGATGTTCTTGTTGCTGGGTCCCAGTTGTCCATGGGGGCCTGATGCAGGACACACTGACTGAAGAGAGCCCATGTCCATTGTTAGCTTTGTGGAACGACTAGAGCTGAGGGAGACGCAAACAGACTGTAAGACTTGTGTCTTTTTTTTTCTCTGTCAAACAACCTTTAGAAATACAGGAAACCACTGTATACATCACACTGTATAAATGGTATCACTGATTTTTATGCTTTCTTCTCACATTTTGTTAAACATAACGTAACACAAGCTTAACAAAATATATCATGTAAGACTTAATGTATGATTTTATTGAGGTTAGAAGTGCTCGTAGCTGCAATTCATTGTCACAGGAAGGTTTTTTTTTACATAAAATATATTTATGAAAATGTGAAATTAGATAGCTAAGTTAATAAAGTGAACCACCACTTGTTCATAAAAATTGTTGTTGCTGTCTTTATCTCCTTTATTTAATCAATTCGCAAACATATATATAAAGTGAGGTTTGCTACATAACAGAACTACAGTATATAAGAGTTCAGTTGTCCTGCTGAGGTCAGACACAAACACTATCCATGCCAATAAGCTTATTCTTAGCTGTCTTTATCTTTGTACCTTTCTATACATAAAAGTCTACCAACTACATAAAGAAAAGAATAACCATTCAAATATGATAAAAGAAAAAAAACTTCAGAGCTTTGACTTTTCTGCTCTGTATAGTAATTAGGTTCTACACAGGAATGGTAAATGGTAAATGGCCTGTATTTGTATAGCGCTTTACTTAGTCCCTAAGGACCCCAAAGCGCTTTACACTACATTCAGTCATTCACCCATTCACACACACATTCACACAGTGACTTGTAGGAAGTGACTTGTAACAGAGTGCTAAACAGAGAGCACAAGAAGTCAGTGACAAGAAAAGACCACCACATTAAACTATTCTATGTTTCAAAGCGAGTACCTAGTACAAGGGCAAAAACAACCTGGTATGTCTGTGATATAGTGTAATGCTTTGTAAGCAAGTACAGAGAATATAAAAGATTTGTTTAACATGCAGCTGAACATTGATCTGTGTGTTTGACTTCTGCAAATTAAAAAAACAAAACAAATATTTGACTCTATTCAACAATTTAGTGAATTTCTTCCTAATTATGAAATATTGAGTTAATCCTTTAATATGTGACACGATGTCAAAGAAGCCTTTAACTAACAAAATAAATCAGTTCATCCTCATTTATGTCCATGCAAACCAATATCTGAAACAACTCCCTGAGGTCCTTCAATACTAGACTAATACAGAATAGACTACTACAAAAATAAACAAGTAGTTGAAATGATCAAAATGTTCTGCATCAGGCAGCTTAATTACTGGAAGTACTGGGATCAGTAACAACCACAATTATAAATATACAAGGTGTCATAAAGTAATGACAACTTTACTGGTTACACTTCCAAACTAGCAGTCTTCTTGTGTCCTGTGTTTTAAACTCAGTGTTACACATATCTGCAAATAGGATCCTTATCATTGTTCTCCTTAAGTGTTTCCACTAAAGTGGGCACTTTCTGGGACAGAAACATACTCAAAGGACGGAAGTCTAAGTCATCGCTGGCCATTAATGGAAGGCTAAAATAATAGAAGATGCATGGCAGGAAGCAGGAAAACTTTGCTAGATTTTTTAACATTTCTTCTGGTTATTTGCATAAAACAACTGAAACACTGCATAGAAAGAAATATTAAAATACACACTACTGTAATGCTTTGCAACCAGAGGGGCAGGACATATCCAGGAGGTATGAGAGAAGGTGGGAGGATTTGTACTGTTGTAGGATATTTACAATATAAAGTGAATTGAGGACATTGTTGTTGTCGTCTGGTGCTATGTAAATAAAACTGAACTGAATTTCAGTCTTTCATTCTGGACTAGCTAGCTAACATTTTCAGAGGGCTCAAAGTTCCCACTGTGACAAAACTAAAGCATACTACTGTCCAACTGAGTGAACCACAATCACATCTCTTTAACAATTTCAGAGTTTGAACAGTGTGTCCCAAACTGACTTGAGGGTCATATTAAGGTTAATCTCACATCGCTTTGTGACAGTGACAGCTAGTGTCTGCTACAGATTAGTAAATACATTCTGTTTTTATCAGTGGAATTGGAGAGGTTACAAAAACAGAGGTTTTACTGTTGAAGAGTTTACTGTTACTCTTCAAAAGTACCTGAACAAACAAACTCACAGCCTTAGAGTTGAAGGTAGTCTGCATTCTAGCTGCACTATAGGAAGGAAATATCCTGTATTATATAGATAATGTACTACCTTTATGCCAACTAAACTATCCTAAAGACTGACGTATACACTGGTTTTTATAGGGTTATCTGAAAACCTGCATTGTCAAGTCAAATTTTTCAGTTGCTGATGAGGAGTCAGAAACAACTAAATCTGTTTTTTTTTTTTCATTATTCCCCTTCTACACAACACCTGCATTTCCCAGACCAACATCTCCATTCAACCCTCTAACACCCAGTCTGAGTGTTTATCTCACCCTCCATCTGAGGTGAGGCTTTGCGTGTCAGTGGCGTCCTCGGTGGGTACTGGGGGAGGGGGCAGCAACATGTCCATAAGATGTAGTGATGCTGAGTAATGCAGCAGACGAGGACAACCCACAGGTTTACCACTGTCTGGATGTCCACCTGGATACACCATAGCAAACCATAGCAAAGTATAATTCCTTTTATTCCAGATTCTATAAGCATATTTTTAAATTTCGGGACTACAAAAAAGTTTGATCTGTGTACAAAATGTTTTTTACACTTCCACGAGGTTTGTGGACAATAATGATTTAATTACACAGATTGAAAGTACCGTGCTGGAGAGCTGGTATGTGACTATGTCCCTGGGTTCTTGTTGAAAGTATAGGGACACTGCTCACTGCATGCAGCTCTGTGGAGAAAACCAATCGGCCAATTCACGTTACTCAAGAAAGAAAGAAATTAACACTGCATTTCCAGATATCCACTGCTCCATATCTACCTTGCTTGCTGTGGTTCTTTTCCCATGATTCCCTTAGCACACCCATCTTGGGCTGGGGTCGTATGGCCTGTTTCCATGGCAGAGCCTCCCTGCTGATGATGGGTGAGGGCTTGCTGGCAGGATGAGTAAATATCTGGATAGTTTCGGCTCCTTCTTTGTGGGGCAAACCATGAGACATTTTAGTGACACGTCCCGGACTGTTGAAGGTCTTAAGACCACTGCCCATGAGGTCCACGTAAAAGGTGCCGTAGACACCGCAGCTATCGGTCACAATGGGAGCGGTCGACTCCAGGCAGCTGCTGTCCTTCTTGGATGAGACTGGGAGGCCTAAGAAAACAGAGAGATTTATAAGAACACAAGTAGAACAAAAGGCTGCATCCCAAATTGCAAAATACTGTATGGGTTTAAAAGGTTTCTATGTTTCACGCATTGGGCCACAAAGTCAAGCTCGGCAGTAATCCCAGAAATGAGTTGAACAAACACAGCTGTCAAATCTTATATACGACGAACTATCTGAGCGGCTTTAGCCTGCACACAGATGCCTAAGAATCTTACAGATGTAGCACCTTCAAGCTGTTCTACAACCATCACCACCCGGGCACTTCTTTTCAGGCTTTGTCTTTCTAATCACTGTAGTAGCTGTGGCCATTAAGGCCTGTTCTGTTCTACTCTGGGTCTTGCTGCTGCTTTCCCTTCTTGCAGCTTCATGTGGCACAGCCATAAGGTGGTTAGCAGTGTCACTTCCTGGTTTGAACCTCAACTGGAGTTTGCAACTCTGTGGAGTTTGCATGGTCTCCCTGTGCCTCTAGGTATCCTGGCTTCCTCCTATAGTGAAAAGGCATGCATACTGGGTTAACTGGATATTCTAAAATGACTGTGGATGTGAGGAAGCTAAAGATGGTCAATAAAAGAAGCTCTGCATAAATGTGTCTGTTCATCTCAAACAGTGCTGTCATAAAGCTCCTCCCATGTTTGGATCCAGTCTTTACATTACTGCCATCTTGCGGCTACATTTAGGTATTGTCACTGAAAGCTGTGCTTATGCTCACTGGAAACTGAGCACAAAGTATACCGGCTCAGCTATCACTGCTCTGGAATCAGCTAGGATCTCCACTTTGTATGAAAACGCAGTTTGCATTAGCCAGTAAACATGCTTTGGTGATTCAGCATCAGAACAGTTTCAAATTAACATCCAATTAAATGTCTGCCCACCTGCTGTGCCAACACTCCACAGTCATTTTCATTAATATTTGGATTCCCCGCATAGATATTGACAGTTTACCATGTCACACACGCCTCAAACCTTTTTTATTCATCTGATCTGTTGTTATTAATACATCTGGTCCTCAAAGGACAGCCATAATACAAACATATGCATTAAAAAAAGGTGATGCTGAACATAAAACAGAATATTAAGTACTTAAAATGAGCTCAATATTAAACATATCCAGGATTAATAGTAATTCTTTTAACACCGATGGAGTGTTTACAGTGAAAATAGAATATCAATCATATATATTTCATTTTTGTTTGAGCAATTTGTATATATTAAAGCCATTTCTTATATTTTGTAAACTGTGTAATATATATTGTATTATTTAATTAGTTCAGTCTGTTACTGTTATTGTCTTGAAGCAAATGTAGCCAAATAATTTCCTCAGGGATTCATAAAGTATTCTGATTCTAAACTGCCTTTCTGTTTACAGTCACCACACGCCTCTCGTGTACATACAATGTTACACACAGTGTAATGTCTATGTGAGAATAGCACATGTTGTAGTCCAGTAAGTTCAATCCAGCAGCACAATTTCAGACAATTTCCTAACCTAATTCTCCAGATTGTTTTACATGACGTCTGAAAACAGCTTATGTAGCATCATCAGAATCATTGGTTGATTTTTTTCGTTTCCTCAACTGTAAGCAAAAAGTCTTTGGTGGATTTTAAGAGGTCACCACGAACCCAAACAAGTAAATCTAGTCAGGTCTGCTGTAGGACAGCAGTTTGGGAGAAAGAAGTCATCATCAGTCTACTGTTTTGCAGTCCATACTCACTGGTGCTTCGGATTCCTGGGTGATGCTGACCTTGGGCCCATAGGTCATGGTACTTTTGACTCAAAGAAGGTCTCCAGCCTCCGGGGATCCACGGTGAATCTGGAGCTGCCATCCTGGAGAGAAACCAAATCAAACCAAAATGAACTCGCTGTAACCAAACGTCAAATATTAGAGACGTTTTTATGCTGTAGCATAGATTCATTATCTCCATATAATATTTATAAGAATCTCACTTTGTGTTCTCTACCATGGATACCGTGGAATTCTTGTTAACAAATGGCTTTTTGCTTTTGAATAGTACAAAACACTCTGACAGTAGAAGGGAAGATGAAGCATGTTCGATCCCCGTCTGCTCCAGTCTGCATGCAAGCTACTAACCTCGAGCTGCTTCATATGAATACGTGTGAATGTTTGGTAGGAGAAGTGCTTGTGCGAGTTATGTAAAGCGCCGTAAGTGCTCAGAGTAGAAAAGCTTATATATAAGAAGCAGTGGTGCTCTAGTATTTACCTAACCATAGTCATGTCAGAGGCTGGCACATCCCGAGTTTGAATAAGAAGGCAGCAGTACTGCAAACCATGCAATGATGGAAGCAAGAGAAAAAAATGAAGGTAACTTGGAACAATTTTGAACTTTTTTTAGAGTGAATGCAGCCATCTACGAAGCGCCTTGAGGCGACTTTTGTTGTGATTTGGCGCTATATAAATAAAATTGCATTGAATTGAATTGAGGGGTTGGTGAGTTTATTTTCTACTAAAAGTTGTAACACCATTTGGTGGTTTCTGTTCAATATTTTGTGATGCTCGTGTTTCGAAGGGTTAGGTCACTCAGTAATTCCTGTGTAAAGTATTGAGTCAGTAAAAGGAGTCGTTCCCTTTAAAGCTCACACAGATAGATTTAGGAAAGTACTGGATGGAGGAAAAGCAAAGTGGACTGGTTCTTACGTAGTGCTTTTCACTAACATTCACAGATGAACGCATTACAGAGAGTTCAGTATCCTGTCCAAAAATGCTTAGTCATTAAGTTAAGGATCTGACCATCAACCTTCCGATAGGCAGAAGACCTGCTCTACCTTGTACCTACACTACCCCCCCCCCCACATTTCTTTTCCAGGTGAATACTTTTAGGTGGTGAAAACAGATTTTGCCTCTGTTCCGCCTACTGCTTACTTCCTGTGCTTCTTCAACGCGCCATCAACTAAAAGCAGGTGTTTTTTTGTCTGTAAACAAACATCTAAGAGAATGAATGTAATACATTTAACCAGCTGTCTTACCAACACTTTAAAAGCTGACTTGCTGACTATAATTCAAAGTAGTTTGTGTACATTCAAGACACTACTTGGTTTTAGTGGTTTGAATGTATTCCTGTCACTTTATTGTCGCAACAGAATCGAATATGCGTCTTCTTTTCATTTTACCTGTGTTTTATAATGAGATCTTCACCGGCTAGTCTTCGCAAACCTAAAAATAAAGGAAGATATAGTATCAACAAAATATGCATATTGTTTATCACAAAGCCTTTGTGGGTGTATTGGAGGTTCAGCTTTTTCTTTTTACTATGGTGAACATTAAAGCCTTAAACTCATACCTTTAGCCTTGCCAGGTCTTGGTATCAGCTGACCGGTCCTGCTGTGGTGTCTGAAGAGACAGATCGCTGCACCCATCAGAACACACCACAAGACGGCGCCGATGCTGCCGAGCAACACAGGGTCCTGAAGAAAGGCCAGGACCGGGGACAAACGCCGCCTCTGGCTATCTGCCTCGGGTAGTCCACCTAACTGTGAGTCTGAGCAGCAGAATGGAAGCACATTATGAATGAATACAACCCAGTCTGAGAACACACGCTGGTCTTTATCTGTCCTGATACAGAAATAAAAAGTTGACAGCTGTATTGCTCACTGATGACAAATCCATGAGGGTCACTCAGCATTCCTACTCCAGCCCCATTGACTGCTGCTATGGTGACCCAGTACTGCTTCCCTTGTTTGAGGCTAGAGATATGAAGGCTCAGTTGGCTACTATCCACAGTCCAGTTTTGGTACTGCTGCTCTTCGGGCTCCACACACCACACCTGAAGAAAGTTTGCATCTTTAAGAGTGAGATTGAAGCTTGTATCCACCCCAAACATGATCAAAATCATTTGTGTGGATAAAGCTTTAATCACTAAACAATTCATCAGCTGCTCCACATGGACATACCAGTAACTGAGACTCCAGTTATAACAGAATAAAACACCCCTACTAAGAACCATGTGCTCTTCTTTATTAAATATTTAATATGTCTACAATACAACACATTTCTTCCATCACAAAGTTTGCCTCAGAATCTTAGTGCACAGTGATTGGTTAATCTGTTTCTTGTTCCACTTGCTGATTAATTCTTCCATATATTTGTATGCAGGACTGTTTGTAGCCCATGTTTCCCTCTTAAAATGACTCCAGCATGATTCATTACAATCTGTAAGGATTTATGTTTCCCTGAGGGTTTCAACAGTCTGCTGAGCAGATAACTGTGTCGTGCAGTCCTACTGTAATTACCTGGTATCCCTGTAAGATCCCATTGTGGGTTACAGGAGGAGGAGGCTCCCAGCTCAGATGGATGGTGTTATTCTGCTCATGATTGACTGTTACTGACACAGCCCGAGGAGAGGCACTGGGCACTGTAAACAGAGCACTTATTATTACCAGCAAAACACAATGAATATTCTCACATCACAAAGATAAAGTAAAAACCTTTGTCACCTGTCTCAGAAACTCTCAGGTGCCGGGTGTTGCTCTCCCTCCCATATAAGCCGCTGCCATAAGGCCGAACTTTGAAATCATACTTGTAGCCTCTCTTTAGGGGGCCCACCTGAGCCTGGAAGCTGGGGAATGTCACCTTCTCTGCTGCCCAGTCTGAGCTGGCAGTGAGCAGAGAGCGATACAGAACCTCAAAGCCATCAAGGTAATGCGGCTGCGCTGGGAGTGACTGGAGCTGGTCAGGGAGAAAATACAATGTGGATCGTGTACGTGTCATACTCCTGCATTCTTTCTGACACGTGGTGCAACAGCTTTCCCTTACCTTCCACTGTACGAAGGACATGTTAGAATCAGGGGCCATGACGGTGACGTTCTCCAGAATCACACGCAGGGATGACAGCTCTTTGTGGAGGTCTTTCTGCTTAGTGTTGGCAGCCTCTGGAAACACAAGTGGTTTATTCAAACCCATTGCATTAACCACAGATGATTGCAGCAGTGTGTGAGGACCTCTCTGTTGCTGGCCAGATTGTGCAGTGAAAATTCACTAGCCAACGTTAACCTAGAGCATACTTGTTTCATGAATTCATTCACACAGCAAGAATCTACCGCTGACATAGAACTGCAAGGTTTCTTTGAACACAAACATGTTCCTAAAGACTCTAAACTTACATTACAGATTCATAAAGTCTTTCCACTGATACTTCAAATCCCTCAATTGCTAACCAAAGGATAAACATCATTCTTCACCCTCATTTGGTGCAATGATGATGGTAGGGAGATTGCTAAACCCTCACAGCTGTTCAGATGGACGGAGATTTTGCAGTTATGAAGACCATAACATATGATTCACATGGTTCCCTCTCTGTTATTTTTCATTAACTGCTCAAATCTATGAGTAAACATTTTAACATCATGTGCATTGGACAGTGCAAAGATAAGGATTTTTTTATGGAGAGGTGTTTAAGAAAGGTGTATGAGATAAATAAATATCTACAACTGTGGCATGCTAAGCACTTTAGTATCTGCAAGTGAGCATATTATAATGTCTGAAGCTGAACTAAGGTATTTTTTGCATCATATTTTTGCATATACAATTGTGGTAAGTTATTTTTCAGTTAGACAACAGATACTCGATGACAGAAAACACAGTTGATTGTCATGGACAACTCCAACACGAGTTTCAAAAACTGCTTCAACTCATTCAAATGCAAATGTATGCAGCAAAGCACGCCCACAGCTTATAAGATCTTACTCCAGAATGAGCAGCTGTGCTTAACATTTCTGCTATTCTTCAGCTTTTTACTGACCAAATCAGCTAATTTATGAAAAACACCTCTGCCTTTGCATCCTGTATATAATGTCACTTTGTTTTAATAAAAAACCTACAGCACTTTCTGGGAAATTACTGTTCTCTCCTTCATGTGCAGACCTTTGCACAAAGACGAACAATAATCTAATCACAAACCTACTTCCCAAGTGTGGACTTACTACAATCACGTCTAAATTACAGAATTCAGAAGACTACAACTAAAGTCGTAGACACCACATGATGAAATGAATTAGTTTCAGCATATCAAATCATAACAATCGTTTCTAAACTGTGGCTCTGACTGCTGTAAAACAGAAATGTCACTGTGTGAAGGAAGCACTCATTTCCTACACTTAGAGTAATCGTAGGAAAACATTCTGATGGCCCACACTGAAGCAGAGTGTTTTTAACATTCATCGAGTGATTGTAAAACACATGACACCAGATATATTTTAACAGCATTATCATGTAACCTCACCTTCAACTAGTAGCTGTGCACTGGCAGTGACCACACCCACATCATTGAGAGCAGTGCAGGTGTACTTCCCGGCATCCAGGGCTGTCACATAATGGATCTGGAGAGTCTGGTCTGGGTTTACGATGTACCTGTGCACACATGGATTTGAAATTTCACGTCCCCCTCATCTCGTCTAAAGGATCAACATTTAGACATAGCATAGATTCAACTGATTTCATTTACAAGCCTCCATATAACTTAACAGCTTGATGTCGACAAAGATTAAGAATAATTTGGACTTTTGAATTTGAAAAACAAAGACTGCTCTGAAGCGCAGTGCTTTTTGGTGTTTTGTGTCTGTTTTACATAAAATGTTAACACTTAAAATCGCCACAGTCTGCAATATTTCCACACCCATAAAGCATAAATGAATATTAGCCAGTGACCATGTGAAAGGGTTCTATATTACCTGCCATTGGGCAGTGGTCCCTGCTCTCTGCTCCAGACCAGAGCAGGTGGAGGGTCACCTTTAGCTTGGCAGTAAAACTGGGCAGACTCTCCCGCTCTTACTGATACGTTTTCTGGCTTCAGCACCAGTACGGGCTTGGCTGCAGTACAACAGAAGAGAAACTCAAAACTATGCTTTGCATATATCAAAGTGTTTTGTTTGCAGAAGGAAAACTTGCATAGGGTAATCTTACAGAGGGTAATATTGCTTTGGAATCCTGACATTGCATTGGAAACTAGCGATGCTAACACAGTGATGAGTTGTTTTCAGTTCCTGTCTCACCCAGCACAGAGAGCCGAGCTGCCCTGCTCTCCCTCTCCCCCACAGTGTTGATGGCCGCACACACGTAAGCACCAGAGTGACTTTTCTCTGCAGGACCGATGATAAGCTTCCCATTCAGCTTCTGCAGCGGAAGCACAATGCAGACAGGATGTGGAAATCGCACAGGATCTATACATATATGTACACTTCAAACTGGTGACTTGAGACCATAAGCTCATTAGTAGAGGTCACACAACAAAACGGCCAGAAGGTTTTCCATCAGACTTCTTTGTGGAACCAGAAGTAACTCCCTGCTGGAAATGTAAAAGCATGCACTTTTTAGACCTCAAAGCTAAATTGATTTGTACTGACCTTCTTTCACAGGCAAACCTCTGCAAATGCATTTATCGAGAAGTTATAATCTGACTTTTTCCAGTTTTTTTAATACAATGGTGATTTTTAGTGAATGAATTCAATCCAGTACTATGCTCTTATCAATGCAAACAGTGTTACCTTAAGAACTATGCATTTACCTCCTGCTGCTGCTGTTATATTAATCTGACAGCGATGTCTGCACCTGCATCTACAAGGCTGATTTCAGTGCCAGTATTCCTCATCTGATCCGTTTCTACCCTCTAGAGCGTTACTGTCAAACGAATGTAATATTGTTGTCAATTTGATGAGAATTCCTCCAAGAGCTGGCTGCTGTGTTGCTGTTTGTTGGTTTAGCCGACATGACAAATTTCACACTGATACTGGATTGTTTTGACATTCACCTATTTGGATCCAGCTTTTTCCTACCATAGAAACTGCCCTGAAAGAGGTCCTGCAGGGTCATTAAAAGGGTTGGAACATGTACAAAGGTGTGGATGCTAAAAGTCAGAGTGCAAGTTCTTAAGAGGAAACATCATGTGACGGTGCCCTTTGCATTTGTTAATAGTTGTGAAGTTCCATTTCAAACAGTTGTAAGAATCTATTTTATAGGTTATATAGCTGTAATAGATTTATTAGGGGCAGACAGCTCACAGTGTAATGATGATCAGCACTGCTGATGGGCAGCCCATCCTTCTTCCAGACAACATTAGGTTCCGGATGTCCCACTGGGGGGCTGCAGGTTAAAACAGCCATTTCCCCCTCTGCCACTTCCACATCAGTAGGCTGCATACTGAACTCCTCCTTCAACACTGCAAAATCAGAGAGTTCAGGTTAAGCTTACCTGAGACCTATAACCATAAAGGATCTTTGAATACACTGAGAGATAAACTGTCTGCATGAGATAAAATGTCGATTTCTGCACTTGTCCAACCCTTAGCCCAGAGGGTTGGACAAGTGACATTTCCTCATATTCAACCACAGAACAGCCTTGACTCACTCGCATGTAAGAAAGATATGCAACAAGCATGCAGTGTATTTTCTCTCAGTTTGAGCTTGTGAATGTGTCGGAAACCTTTATGAGAGGCATTCCTCTCTGTACTGCAACTTTTCCAGCAAGACAAATTCATGTGTCTCATTGCTCCCATCAACTCCAATTCATATTTTCTGTGGGCTTTACTCATCATTACTGAACCTTTTTTCCCCAGTAAAATAACCAGACATCTACCATAAATGGCCATCCTCTGAATGGGGAAATATCCTCTTCATTCTTATTGTTTTTTACTTTATAATAAAACTTGTTTGATCTCAACATTTTTAACATTTTCTCATTAACACATTTTATTTTTTAATTTATTTTGAATAAATTTTCATTTAAACAGAAATCATATTAGTCTGTTTATTTAATCAGACAGTTGACCCACATGACATTTTGCAATTTTAGATGCCAGAATATGAAGGATATTATCTATTATATTAATCATATCATTATATATTATATCTATTCTATGAACATAGTGAAAAGCTATACAAACATAGAAGGTTTTATAAAATAAACTCCAAAAAGGAATACATTATTTTAACTACAAATAATGCATTAATGAACATTTATGAACAACCATCAATCTGACTGTGATATAAAGGCTGATGAGTCAGATCTAGCATGTGAGACTGGAGTAAGATGAATAGGTAACAGGGCGGCTTAGGGAGTGATATTGAGCCAGGTGGTTTGAAATGTTGGGAGTTCTGGTCCTCATACTGTAGGGACTGTTGTTGTGAAGTGGTGCTGTATAAATCCAGCTGAGCTGAATTTACCTGAAGTGAACTGAATTAAATCAGCTCACTGGGACACTGTTTGACTCCAGCAAACACTGACACTGTCTCTCTGTGACTGTAACCACGCACATCTTCATCACCTCTCTGTACGAGTGTCTGTGTGATGTCTTTATTGCCCCACCTCTGATTAGGGTTTCATCTATTGTCTTTTTTAGAGAAAAACAAATTATAAGCGCATCTAGAAATTATTTTGCATGCATCCAGCCAAACACTTGTCTGTACTCGGGCGAGACTTGAGAATGGATGCTTAAAAAGCATTCTGATGTTCAAAGACCCAGAATTCTCCTGTGGAAATAAGGCTGATGTGCTTGGAAGAAATTCTACTGTCAATTAAGTGCTTTAGCAACTGAGAATATCAAATATCTCAGCTGCTAAAGCACTTCATTACTGATTACTATTTTTGCTAAAAATGGAGTTGGAAATAAGTCTAGAGACAAACCAGAACAGGAGACAGGAAATGTGTTTTGATTGGTTCAGTAATGAAACTATGTGAAAAATATAGACATAAACCCCCTAGATCAAATTAATTTTACACATACCGCCCAAAAGTGGGCCAGACCTGTGAAAATCTCATTTCTTGCAGTGTGAAGCAGTTTGTCTGCACATTTAGTCCCTGACATATCTCAATATAAGAAGGAAACAAAAGTGCAATTTCAACAGCGTCTCTCACTATGCCGTTTTTCTACGTGATAAAGAAATGATGCTGTAGTAAATGAAGTAATGAAGTAAACTCTGTCAGCATGACTGTTGGGCTTGAATTGTATGAAATAAATGCGTAACATTAGAGAAGTTTAGTTAATTTCCTTAATTCAAAGAACATTCCCTATTTTATTTATTTATTTATGTCTTTAACTGGATACATTGTAAAAAACACACACTGATAAAGTAGAGACTGAAACAAAAGGAACTAATTGCTTATCTGTTACTTCATTACTCTAATGTGAATGACTGTGTGCGAGGTGCTTATCAGTAGTAAAATCCTGAAATTACGAGTAAAGTAAGGGATTACTATTGCAAAAAAAGTAATTAGATTACAGTTACTTTCCCGTAAGCATGCTGTGTTAATGCGTTACTAAACCGTGATTTTGCTTGTGAGAGTGTCTCATAGCAATGATGTAGGCGCGTGCGACGTTCATGGTAACAGACATTTGCAGATCAACAATGGATAATATATAGAGTGGGGGAGAGAGTATGACCAGCACACAGCGTTTAAAGCGTGGAAGTACTGACCTTACTTTGAGTTTGATTTTGAAAAAAGTGACAAAAACATTAGCGTCTGCTGTACAGTGCGTGGGAAGAAAACTTATTTTTACAGCAAAAAAACCCTTAAACTTCTGAGCAAGTACCAAGCACTCTGCCACGGGAATGTGAAATAGAAAATAGAAGAGAAACCCCCGGATCCCCCCACTGACATGACCGCTGCGGCACTGGGCAAACCTCCACCTGCTCCACTCCTGCTAAACAGGTGAAAATAGATTTACGAACGACAGGACTCAGTGCCAAGTCTTTGATTTTATTTATTTTCTGCTGTGTTTTACTTGCATCTATTTGAAAGAGTGAGTGTAAACACAAAACATTTTTTTAATATGCTGGACTGTGCAGAAAATAGGTTCAAATGTTAAATGAATTTCTTCAAGTCAAAGACTGTTGCATATAATTACATTTTTGCTTGATGCAATGTGCATAAAGTTAAAGGATTAAAACTAATAACACAAGTTTTAAAAAGAGACTTTTTCATTTGATTACATTTTATATGATGGAAAATGAAAGGTGTATTGTTTTATTACCTATTGAAGTTGTGTATCATGTTTTTTAAAAGTAACTAAGTAACTAATTACTTTTGAAAATTAGTAATCAGTATCAACTGGATTACTTTTTTGGAGAAGTAATCAGTTTACTTTTTTCAAGTAACTTGACCAACACTGGTCATGAACATTTGAACTCTGTGCCTCTGGGAGGCCGATGTTCCCACAGAAGAAAACATGATTGGACCTTAAAACAGACTGCTTACAAAGAACAAGTTTGTTTCTGAGTGTGCAAAAAATTTGACACCAGTTTTTATACTTTGAGTGGTTATTTTTTATTATTACTCTCAGTTTTTTTGCAGTATTTGTATATTTGAACATTCAGTGTCATTTTGGTTTTCATTTAACTTTATGTTGCTTTTAATTCAGTGTTTCTATGTTGTGTGGTGTCTTGTAATGCACTTCATAGGTCTTGTATTTTAAATGTATTATATAAATTATTAAGGTTGTTACTACTCATGTTTAAGGCAAACAACTATTGATACGTTGTAAAAATATAAAATAAATACAAAATATGACTATAGTGTAGTTGCACTACGATATGATTATAGGACTACATCTTTGCATGATTCATACATACACGCAGACACCAGATGTTCTTGCAGACCCTCATTTATCTATAAGGCCAACCACCCTTTAAGCCAACTTTCTTCTGATTGGTTACCTCGTGCACATCATGTTTCTGTGGAGCCTTGTATATGAAAAGACTAATCTAATCAAAGTGTTTTAGTTGTCAGTTAGACAGACAGTTCTTTTTGTGCCTGTAGGGAAATATTTTCTGTGGTACAGCAGGTCCTATGAGTAGCCACACATGTCCCAGTCTCACCTGCGATAAACAGCGATGCATTACGGCTGGTGTCCTTCCCCGCACTGTTCCTAGCCACACAGGTATAGACACCCTCATGCGACTGCCCCTGTCTTCCCCCTTCCACGCTCAGAAAGAAGAGGCTCCCGTCTGAAAGGATCATCGGCTGCAGCTGGCCATCTTTCTTTGCGGTCTCTAGCAGCTGATTGTTGCGTAGCCACTCAATAGTTGGCTTCGGGCTTCCGTCAGCGCGACAGGAGAGGGTGGCAGGATTGCCAACTTTCACCACCACATCAGAGGGGTGGTGGACAATGCGGGGAGGTCTCTCTTCTGCTCGAACCTTGGAACCTGAGGAGGATAAAGAGAGAATTGGTTAAGCAATGCTGCTCATGTTAGCTTTGATTTCCTGAGTTTGTTTCTGTGTGTTTCACAACAGGAGATTTGGTGTAAATTACAGCACTTTTCTCTGTAAGAAGCAAACCTCAGCCCTACACATCGCCACCCCTGAGTTCCAGCCACTAGCAAAACCCACAACAAACAAACGTATGCTCTGCTACCAACAAACAATGTGTATTTGCAGCCAGTTGCAATGGAATGCCATTGTTTGAGCTTCCCATGGGACTGGATACCCAAAGACGGTGCACAGATGGTGATCAGCTTCCTGACAGGAGCGGAAGTCAGAGGTTCTCAGGAACATCCAGGCCAACAAAAGCTGACGGGAACTTCCTCATCAACGGGACATCCGCCACAGAACAAAAGACCATCTTCAAGAGACACTTAACACTCACTTTTGAAAACTTAAAATGTGGGAAGAAACAAAGTCCTACAAGTGTGTTAAATTACATCATTAAATCATCTTAGGTTAGCAAGGTTTGGGAAGGCAAGTTACAGCACAGACGCTGCTTCTTATTTAATTTATACTATGAAAAACACATGCTTTCAATGTAATTTATACCAGCTGTGTTTAAAGAAAATAATCAGGAAAACAGGAAACTGAATTCACATCTAAACTGAATATTATCTTAATCTGACCCAACATTTTGGGAGTCTGAAATGGGAAAGGACAATCAACAAAACAGCTCTTGTCCCTCTTGAGCTGTTCTTTCATTTACTATAGGCGGAAATGCCTTCCCATTACAGCTAACAATAAGCTGTCCAACCTCATTGTCACTGTGTCTTTTCACATTCAGAGCAAAGGCAGGATGCAGTCAAAATACCAGCATGTCGTGGTCAAAACACTCTCAGGACATTTCTAAAATGCTTTATTCTTGGGAGGTAGGTGGTAATCAGGACGCTCCTGAACGTCACCAACATTTCCATTCAAACAAGCTGCACAAGCTGGGGAACAAATTATGAATTCATAAACTGTTAGAGGTTTACCCAAAGATCAGCTGGCAACAGATTCATTATAATTGTAACTATATTTAAAAAAACAAATCCATTCAGCTCATGCAGCAGAAGCACAATGCAGACAGGATGTGGAAATTACACAACATCCATGCATATATGTACACTTCAAACTGGTGAGTAACTTGAGACCATAAACTCATCAGGAGAGGTCACACAACAAATCGGCCGAAAGATCATTTTACACTTCTTTGTGGAACTGGTCTGTGTGGTCTCGTTAGTGACTTTGACACATTAATTGTCTTACAGTTTTTTACAGTTTATCTGTGCATTGGTGAAGCTGCTAGAATTAAAGCAAGTGGAACCCTGAACACAGACCCTGCAGCAGTATTACAAACATCCCCCTCAAAACTCTACGTTAGGTCTTTTTAGATTTTTCATTTCATGTCAAGGATTCAAAGTAACACATTACAGTTAAAAGGCATGCTCATCTTTTCTAACACAGGTTGACAGGAAGAGTTCCAACAGTACTTACCGAGGAGGAGAACTCCAAACACGGGTAGAAATATGTTCTCCAAATAACTTCTGCTCATCATTCTGAGCAGCCAAGTCAACAACCAGGATACTTTCCTCTGATAAATTTACCATTTGATATTTAATTTAAAGCTAACCTGTTACGTAGCATTTACGCCTCATTTTCACAAAATTGCCATTTGAGGGTTTTTTTGTTGTTGCTGTTTGTTTTAAAGTTACCGCAACTATATATATATCTTAAACGTAATTACTGCTCTATAACGATTACTCCCTCGCAGTCCCAACTCCACACAGCTGGGAGGTGCAGTGAAATTTAGCTTCCTGATGGAATGATTTTCAAAATAAAACCACGAAAGGTCTCGAGGCACAAGGCTCAATCGTCCCTGAAAGTTGATTCTGTTCACCGGGACATTCCGTTTTCGGTGAACAGAATTAACTTCCTGGGAAGACCACGAAAAAACCCCGCAATGTTAGTATAGAAATTATTATTAGTGTAGAAATAAATATTATTATTGTTATTATTATTATTTGGAAATAAATAATAAATTTATTTGTTTTATTCCATAAAACTGCATTCTATTAGTGATTTTAATTGATGTGATTTTAATTTGTATTCAAAATGGCAAGGTTTGTTTCCGCTTTTCTGACCACAGAAAGTTAAACATTATACATTATATGAAGCAAACTACTATCTAGATTAATGAATCTGTGTCCCCTGTGTTTATGTTATAGTAAGTTCTTTTCTCTCGTATCTATTGCAGATACTTTTGCAAGAAATTCAGGGTAAAAAGAAGTCAGGGCTACATGTCATCGTGGAAGAAACGTTTCATTACTACAACCAAATGTAAATCGCATAACACTATCAGAAATACCTGAGACCAGCAACGCTCTTTGGATTTTTACATGCCACAATATTACAGAATATAACCAGCTATTGAACAAAGAAAAGTAATGAATAAATGAAAACCATGTCGAATTAAAATATATTTGCCAGTGATTCTCACAGCACTAATTTATATTCTGTGGAGTCAGTTATAAAAGAAATAGAATAAAAGAAAATACATTTCTGATGACCACTGTAAACACTGCTATAAACAAACAAGCAAAACTTCACACTAATATTAATATCAATTTCAACAGTAGAGTTTGGTTTTGCCTTTAAATATTGTATTTTAGGTTTAATCAAAGGAACGGAGGAGGAAGTATTACATTTTCCATTTAATCATGAGCTGTTGTCCATTTTCAGCTTTTGTGCTAGCACTCCTATGTGGCAGGAAGTTTAGAATCTCTCCATGTTTTTATTTAACAATAGAAGGAAACTGTACATCTGCTCCTCATTCATTGTGTCCAGCAATTCAGCTTGAAGGCTTTGTTACAGTAGGTTTTACTATAGCTTTTTGTAGATATCTTAAATTAGGTTAGAGATTTTGTACAAATATACAAAAAATTGAGTTTTTGATTATAAAAAAAACCATGCCATATAAGAATAAGTTCTACTACATCTCCTAAAGACAGAAAACAGTCCTGATGCTGAGTTACTTCCAAGTTTCCACAGTGAGGACAACTCCCAAATAAATGGACTACCACTAGTTCATTCTTTCTAATGGCGCACATAAATAAAGCATTGTGTAGTGAGCTGTGCATTGTGAAGGTCAGAAAGGCCCGGGGCTAAGTGATGGATGTTTATATTGATCCAACAACTTAGGCTGGATGGCCTCGGCATCGGCAAGCTTTCAGCCTACAACAAAGGCTTTAGAGAGGATGAAGGATGAGTCGCCCCTGCAAAAACACAGCCCATGGGAATGGTGCTGGGACCAAGATGTGCGGAGGGAAGGGACCTCTTTCAGGCTGTAGACCAAAAGGTCAGCAAAGGTGTTGGAAATGAGGAAAAGAGGGTGGGAAGGCATTAGAAAAAAGAAAGAATGTGTCAGCTGTAGTGAGGAATGTGACAAAATGTGACTTCAGAGTAAATTCGCTTGTAAAGGAATTAACAATCACTGTCAACACAAAAGGCTGAATTAACTTAATTTAACCCAAAATAGGTTGTCTTTTTTGGCGGCTTAAGATAATAATTAAAGACTGAAGACAACAACGAAATGCCGATCTTAATACACTTAATAAATCTGAGCTGATGTAACTACTATGAAGAAAAAATATAGATGAGACTTTATTACATACAGCCAATGTGTTTTCTCTTTGATGAGCCTCACTTTTAAACATAATTGTGAACTGACTTTTTTGCTGTGACATATATAGTACACAAATTTTAAATATGTTTTGTTTAGTAAAACAGTTAGATTTAAATAAACATTGGATTACATTTACAGTTACATTACTTTATCTGGTCATTAACTTAATGCATTTATAGATCTAGAGTTTGAAATGTAAAAAAGAGTAAAAAAAAGTAAACATTTTGAAGAAAAGTTATGATGACTTTTGATTTTCAATACTTACACTTTATGTAACAAGGATGCAAAAGGCAATGTTAGTAACATAGAAGATATTTATCTGTTTTAAAATCACAAATTTAGTTGCAGCTCTAAGCCTGTCAGATGCGCTACATGCCAGCCTATAAGGTGCTGTCATCTACCTTCTCACTTAAAGGTCTTGCACGAAAAGTTTCAGCTCTTCTGCAGCAGAGTGCTGTCTGTCAGCTCTGTGAGTTTAGCACTCACCTTTTCTCCGGTGTGCCCTGTTCCTGTGAGGTGTGTGCTGGTGTCCCCCACTGTGATGAGCACGCTCCTTGAACAGGGTCTTTGACCTCTTGTCTAAACCTGGCTCTGCCGGCACGATGCCATGACACTTGCACCACTTGGAGTACTCTGCACAGGTGCAGAACCAGGACACCCAGAGGAGCCACACACAGACACGCATCTTCATGCTACGGGTCCAGGATGCAATTCCCCAACTCCTTACTGTGGTTCGGCTGTATCAACCATCCCCTCAGTCTACTCTCTACCGTGGCACTCCACAGACATTCAACATGTGACCTATCTTACGCCCCACTTCTTATTTGGAGATTTATGTTTCTCCATATTCCTCAGCTCCTCTTCCCTCCCTTCTTACTCTGGTTGCTCTCACTCTCTCCCTCCTCTTTGGTCTCCACCCCCCCCCCTCTGAGTAGTAAGAAATTGGGAGATGTGGGGTTGGGGGCAAACAATGATAAAAAAAAAAAAACAAGTTTCAGACCTCATGCTGAGCACATAGTGAGGAGAAGGGGACCAGGGGTACTGTCTTGGGATAAAGAGGGAACAGAAAACAGGGCTCAGTGTAGGGCAGGAAGGAGGGGAGAGAAAGATGAAATAAGTGGGAGGTAAGAGAGTGAGGCCTGTGTTCACTAAGTCAGGTCACTTTCATCAATCAAATGTCTACCTACTGACTGATGAAATGCAGCGTAACAGTGTCTAAATATGGAGATCATCTCATAAACAGAGTAACTGGACCTATTTTGATCATTCTGAAGCTGAGGCTTATAACTTTCAGAAAATGCACAAGAACAGACAGAAAGTTATTTCATTTCGTCAGATTTCAGAGGAACCTTTATTTGGATTGCTCAAAGGCACATCTGAAATATTATTTTAAGTTCACATGCTCAATTGTGAATTATAACACCAGAGGAATGCTGCGTCGCTTGACAAACAATAGCTTAAAAAAGGACAAAATGGGTACAAAGGCTCCTTTTTCTCTCACTGCTTTGCTTTAAAGTGACACTCCCCCCCTCCCAAACACACACACACACACACACACATCCCATACCACCATCAACACCACCGTACACTCCCTACCCAACCTCCCACCAGCCAAGTAGCCAAGCAAATTTGTAGTTGCCTGTCTGCACAGTATGAGTCTCATACATCATCTTGGCTCGCCCACAAGAGGCAAACAAAAGTACCAAGTCAACCTTGTCAGAATGTTCTGCTTGCAATTCAAACGCAGTCAGTTCGCCTGCTTTGAGTGGCCTCCCAGAGTGCACAAAGAATACACTCCTGATTTGATTTGCATTACATCAACCTATCAACAAAAACAAATGGGCTTCCAAACAGAGAAGCACAGATAGGTAGCAGTTTGGGCCATTTTTTTCTGCTCTGTACCAGTTCCTTTCAGTATGTCTGTAATTTGTGACAAACAAATCTCAAATTGTGACCAATCTCAGACATATTCAGTGTATTTATCTAATGCCTGTGATGGGCCTTTCATTGCCTATGCACAAGTCTAAAAATACTGCGTGAATAAAAATAAAGAGCTTTGCCAGAAGGCTGGTTATAATTATTTTCAAGTTGACTGGAAACTCTGCTCTCCGTCAGACCCGGACTGCACTGTACAAGTGCACCTGTCACTTGTGTTTCCTACAGAAAAAAGTTATCTTTATACTTTCTGTTACGATCAATCATACATTGTATAGAAACACCAGAATTACTGGGAATTGCAACATCTTTCTGATGTGCGTTTTGTTGGCCTTCCCATCAATCACCACCTCTATCCTGACAAATATGTTCATTTCTGGCTTTAAAAAACATCCCGAAAAGTCAAAATGAAGGATCAAAGGTTGTTTTGTGACTAAAAATTGTTCCTATATTACAAAAATACATTTTTTAAATCCCACAAACCCTGGAATATCGGAATATGTGTGCCACAAGGCAGTTAAAAACTTAAAGCTGGCTATATATAGCCAACAGAATGGAGACTGAAGAAGTCACTCAGACGAGTGATGAAACATTTCTCCCACTGAAAACACCAAGTCCAGATGAACACAATCAACTTTTTGGAATAGCTTCTAAAGATCTAGATAAATTCAAACATAGGTGACTTTGGTAACAACTAAGCATGTTCTGTGCAATACCAAGGCCACCCATGTGGCCTTTGATCTCTGTAGCCATTGCCTTTCTACACCCAGCTAATATTCAATAAGGTCTTCAGCACTGTCAGAATGGAAAATAGGCCAAGCTTTGGCCCTCAATGAGATGTCATGTCCAAGCAGCAGAGGGCTGTTCGTGGGCAACCTGACCCCCAATTTGGGCCACCATCCTCTTACCAAAGGAAAGAGCTATGCATTAATTCATTCCTGAGCAAGAGGTAAAAGGCTAAGTCCACACTAAGATCTCAGTTTGAGGATTTTGCCCCCCTAGTGTGTATTGCAATTATAGCATCCCCTAGCGATATACAAAAGTGCACAATAGAGCACAACCAGGCAGTGCTGAGAAAAAAAAGCCCTCTTCTTGGCCCCAAAACAGCATAGTTTGTTGCTTGGGCGACAAGGCTTTGGTTCATTTTCACATTCTATCACAAACTCTCTCATACCTCAGTGAAAGCCGCAGACAGTGAAATCTAGTGTCTTCAACAGACACTGCCAGACACCCATGTTGGCAAATCAGTCCTTATCTAATTCAAGACTTTATAAGGACTTAAAATGACCCTGCTTGTGTTTCCCTTCGAAAGTCTCATCAGGTTTTATTTACCAAACTTGCTGAAAGGATAGCAAACATTGCCATCTGCTTGATTTAACACGAACTGAATGTCATTCTTTTGGGATAAGTGCATCAACTTTGCCTGAAATCTTTAATGGATTGTGAGTGTTGTGGGAGCTAGGTGGGGTGGTGACAGTGTCCATATCACAAACAAAGATGGCTAAGGATGTGAAGGGCAAGCCAGAAGTTCTGCTTGAGTGCATCTAAATGCAGGATCTACCCCAAGGAGAGCAACCAGCCCCTCTGCAGTTTCAAAACCATGCTCACACCTCTTTGCCCTTGCATAGCTTTCTCTTTCTGTATCTCTCCCACCCCCCATCTCTTTATATGTCCAGCTGGCTGCGCCACAAAGACTGCATCTCCCAGCTCCAAATGATCCTTAAACCCCCACATCCTTTGTTCTGCTCATTTTCCCACTCCCCAGAGATGGAGTTTAACAGCAAAAATTAAAATGAGGAAAGGATAGAGGATAGAGAAAGATTAAAAAGGTGAGGTAGAGTGAGAGGGTGTGTGAAAATGAGAGCCAGGGAATACTGGCTTCTTCAAGGCCCAGACTTCAGGGAATGTAAAACCTTGAGCGTGGAGGCTGCAAAGGCAGTGAGGAGTTGGTGTAAATACCTTTTGCATTATGACCTTGAAACAGAAACTGCAGCGGAATATTCTCAAAAAGACCATTCTGTTGATAAGTAAAAGGAACAGATCCAAAAAGTTTTCAATCAAGTTAAAGTCAGCCAGCTAAGCCTCTTCTTCAATTTCACTGCTTTTAAAGACACTCGGTGGCACTTTCTACTGGGGCTAAGATCATGTTTTGCGGTATTCATGCGGTCAATTACAGCCAACAAGTCCCTCCAGGTTGAAAAGATTTCGGATCCCTTACCCCACCGTGATGAAATCCCCCCAGTTCCCCAGGTTGTGCGAAATCATGCAGTGGATTGTTATGCAGAAAAAGGACCATAGTATGGAGATGTGGGCTGGAACTAATAGGATTGGTTTTGATTCATTAGATTCTCTTTCATCGGCCTGGTTGGAATTCCACTCCATGTCTCCTCAGGCTTCACACTTTTAAAATGGAGGCGGGAGGGGGGTAAGTGTTTATAATTGAGCCTCTGGACTGCAAAAGCTCATTACTCTATGGAATCATCCGCTTATTGCGACCCTGTGGAATTGTGTGAATGCATCCCCCTGTTCTTCAATGTACTGACAACACTTTACACGATATGACATGATTGACTTATCCAACACTTACATTTAAATGTGTATTTAGAAAATCTTAGTTTAGAAGAGTATCATTGCTATCCTCAACAGCTAATCTCCAAGAGCGTGTCTGGAGTCTTTTTTTCCTAACCCAACTTTCTTTAATGTCTGTTCAACATCAGAGCACTCAGTCCACGTCTGTGGTCACTAGACACTGCTGCAGCAAAATCCTCCAACAACCAGCCTGCATCACGATCAGTTCTTGGTGTTCCCTGATAGCTGGGCATGCTTATGTTCAGCAACTGGTGCTAGGTTAAAGTAAACCCAACTGGCCTGTTTTACAGGCAAAAAAAGCTCCGCCTAATATAGTTACAAGGTTATGTTTTGCATTGCGAAGTCTAATTATAGTTTGCCTTGTCCTATTTAAGCTTTTTCAACTGTCCAATTTAGGAACGCTTCTCTGGAAAACACAAGTCATATTACGCCAGCATACATTTGAGCTTTAAAGCAAAAGAACAAAAGGCAAAAATAATCCACACAGTACTTTTTTGATTGCCAAATATATACATGAAACTGTCTTTGTGTTTTCATGACAGTGTCAGACCATGAGACTGAGATAAATTCAGCGGAACTAAATTAACCAAGAAGATGTAGGCTACAAGAATGGTCGATGCATCAAACTAAAAATGTATCCGGTCCAGAAATATTATTGACAATACAAAACAAAGGCATACTGAATAATTTCGTGACAAATCCATGACTTCTTTTCTGGTTATCAGTCAAATTATAGACTTTTTTTTACTGGCACCACATGAATCAGATTCTGTAAAAACAAGCTAAATAATGTGGTATATCAACAGTCGGTCTGTTTGAAGAACTTCCAGCTTCAGGCAGCTGTAAATGGCAGATCGTGGAAAATTGAGCAATTTTCACTCTGGGCTAAATGTGCATCATGTACCATCACAATTATCAGTTACCGTACTTTGAGAGTACTGCAGAAATTAATCAGAAGCAAAAACTTGAGAGTCATAATCACATACTTAATTATTTATTTATTGTTGGATGAAAAAGTTGAATGACAAAGAATTACTGGCTTGTTACATACATGCATCAAAATTTAAAGGATGTGGTCATTACTTGTGCTAAGTGATACAAAATATGAAAACTTGACCCAAATATATCAATTTATATTGTTGTATACAAAATCATGAAGACACAAACAGCAGTGCTAAGACAAAACTGGATCTTCCATTCACATGTGTTCCACAATCTATTGTGAAGGCAGGCTGGGGTCTTCGGGACTTGTCAGACTGGGTAAATCAGCCTGTGATTCAGGCGCCAACTCTAGTGTGTTTTTAAGGGCTTGGCATACACTGGTTCCAGG